CCCCAAAACCCCAAAACCCCAAAACCCCAAAACCCCAAAACCCCGAGATAGCAAATATATTTTGAACTAGATCCAATTAGACATCAGCACCTTAATTAGGAAATCTGTAACTGGCTTCAGCATTTCTCTCAAGATTGGATTTCTTCCTTGCTTCTTTAAATAATTTTGACATGTTCGGAGCTACAGTCGAGATAATGCTTACTTCTTGAGGATGAAATAATTCTGATCCCTGAAATATCAGATTCTATTCTGTGAGTGGCTCTTGTGTTTCCAATGTTCACTACAGGGTTATATAAACTTACCAGTGATGTCATGCACTGGCTGAACTGTAGTCTGAGCTTGGCCTTTCTTTCTAAAACATTTCTTGCACAAAGACACCAGCAAAGCCCCTGTGAATAAACAAGTAGACTTACCAATCATGATGAATGTGATGATGAGAGAGTTGAACATAATGATTCCACAGAAGATGCTAGTTATTGAACCTGACCACTCTTCCTCACTGTTTCAAGCTATCATTATTGAGATCATTGAAGTGTAAATGACTTCGTTTACTAATTCAATAATGTTGTTCTCTGGCCTATCGAAGGGTCGAACGATTGTTAGAGCAACTAAATAGAAAAATTGAATCACTAGCATTCCTATTGACAAATAAATGCATTCAAACCAACTAAAAATAATGAGCCATCCAACAAACAAAGATCTTCTAGTCAAGCTCATATAGGGATAGAGTCTTGCATATTTAGAATTTCTAATTCCAGTTATGAACTCTGCAAGCTTGTAATGTTTGTCGGGGTCATAAAAATCTCACTTTGAATAGAACACATAGAACGAAACTCCAATTGCTCCTAAGCATACTACTAGAACTAGTCATGAGAAGATAAATGAGATAATCTGAGGAATGCCAGAGAAGTTGAAGTCAACAACTTCTGAGAGACTGCATATCAGGAGAAGCTGAAACCCTCCAAGAATCAGTCTGATGTAAATAATAAAGTTGAAGAGGTCTACAATTTTGATCATCACATAGTTGAAACTACACTTCTTCTCGTTCTCGTAGTTGATACACAGTCTCAATGTCATCACAACTGGATAGAGCATCAGCAGAAAGATCATTCAAATAGCAAACCCAAAGTTATTCAGCAAGCTTGTGCTTGATTCAATGCCAATTGTTTCAAGGTAGATATTTTCTTGTTCTATGCGCAGCCAGTCCATAAACTCTGGAGCTTTTGGGAGCTTATTAATTGGAACAATGTTGAGATTGAACTGCATCATCTCGTTTCCTAAAATCATTACTTTCACATTTCCTGGAAATGGAGTTTTAGTCAACAGCAACAATAAATAGAGTTGGAGTTGATTTACTATTGACCAGATTGCTGCAATGGACGATAAGTTTAAAATAGACACTCCTATTGTAGCTCCAGCACTGACTCCTGAGATAGCCTGAGAACCTGAAGACATTTGTTGAGCATTTTCAGAGACTTCGTAAACATTTGGAGAATATCACTTTGTTGGACTTTTAAGCATAAAATGCTTCTCACATTTTATGCATTTGTCATAGTCCTTTGGATCACATTCCAAACAATGCTTGATTTCTCATTTCTTACACACACTCGGACCTAAACCAATGTAAACTTTCTGAGCAATCATGGTCAATATGTACTTACCTGTTGGAGTCTTATTAGAGCAAAGAAAGTTATTCTCAATAGTTCACTGGGAACTACATCCATCACCACTAAAAGTTAGTTCTGGGCTTACCTGACTTCGTTCTTGTCATCACATGCTTCTGGTGCAATAATCAGCCCATCTCCACACCTCGGCTTGCATATGCTGTTTGTATAAGTGGGAGACTTGCATATATAACCTGATTCAACAGCTCAGTTGGAATCACAGCCATCTCCACTGATTGTATTGTTGTCATCTCAAGTAGTCTTCAAGTCATCAGTCGGATTGAGGATGCCATTTCCACACTGTCTGGTTCAGTTGGTAGTTACTCCTTGGCCAGCTCATAAGTAATCTCTTTCATGTTTACAATCCTTATCACACCCATCACCATCATTAGTATTCCCATCGTCTCATTGTTCAGGGAACAATTTAACTCCATTTCCTCATGATAGAACACAGACCTGGTTACTTGATCCAGTTCAATCGTAGCCATCTTCTACCTTTCAATCACTACTGCACCCATCGCCATCAGTAGTATTTCCGTCATCTCATTGTTCATCGCCCTTCATCACCAAGTCTCCACAGATTGGTGTTCAAGTTTGGTTGTGCCAACCCTTTCACTTGAATCCAGTCTCAACATTTCAGTTAGGATCACAGCCATCTGTATCATTTTTATTCCCATCATCACAATCCTCATTATGAGCAAAGAATCCGTCTCCTCAGTCACTCTGAAATCAATTCTGAGGATTCTCATCTGTACAGCTTATGTTATACCCAAGAAAGCAGTTTTTGTCACATTGGGAGTCGTATTTATCCCACTTGTTTTCTCCTGTATTACTTCCATCATCACATTCTTCAAGAGACTCAGGGTCTCTGGTCCCATCTCCTCACTGGAATCCATAAGCTAAAAATGTGACTATGCTGACTTACGGTTGTATAGCTGGGCTGTTGGAGTCACTGTATAATCTACTGTAGTGCTCAGTTTCAGACTGTGAATAATGAAGTCTGTTTGGTTTCAGTCACTAGAACATCCTAATACTCCTAGCGGATAGACTACAAGACCCGCAGTAATTACATTTGCTGTTTCATCTCCATTAAAATGATCGTATACATTGGCTCTGAATATGGTGGTATTTTTGAGTATTGATAGCTTGTTCCATCCTCCTTTAAATGAGGTAATTATACTTACTTTGGGAAATCTTCTCACTCTTAGCAATAGAACTTTCGATTGTTAAAATGAATTTATCGTAAGCTATACATAAAGTAGTATTAGGTCCAAGTGAATTTGATAAAAGCTGAACAGCACTTACGCTCGTTATAGCTGATTCTGGTTAGGTAATTTGTTGTCCCACCAATCTAAGGGAAAAATTAAAATCAACACACTAGAAAATATCCTAAAAAATTCAGAGCTTATGCAAAGGATTCAGGGAAGTAAATTCAGCTCTTCGTTGCCTCTCAAATCAGATGCTGCAAATTTATTTCACAGGAAGTGGTCTTACAGAGAAATGTTGTGCTGTCATCACTACATATGCTGAATGCTTGTATTTGCTCACAAATATCCATAACTCCATTGAAAGATGGTCTTGGTATTGGAGAGGCTACAGGTTATTTCCTAAGAATTTTACAAAAGTCTCATCAATATCCAAGTATCTAGAAATTAGGCATATCCTTACTTTCCTTGAGTGAAATGAAGCCCTTGGGGAATAATATCTGGCTTATCAACATCTGAAGCTATAACTCAAATTAGCCGTCATCATGAGGACGTTTCAGGTATTGCCAAAATTCTGGATACCTCTGATTTTAGAAAAGAATGGATGGAAATGAACTTTAAATTAAAATATCATCAATAAAGATGAACAATAATGACATTAAATAAAAAGTCACTTTGGTCGTTTAGCCTACCAGGAAACTTAAAAACAGGCACGTTAGCTTCATTTTCCATATTTATAACTTGAGTCGTGTCTTCCCTAAATGTTATCTTGATTCTTACGTCAAGTCATGGAACTGATATGTCAAGGTTCTATAGATGGATATTTGTCCTTACTTGTCTTGGAAGGCTGATTTTGACAAAGTAAAAATTACTAGGAGTATTAGAATTCCTAAAATATTTCGATTCTTCATCTATTCCAAGTTAATTCTGAAATTAACATTTAGAGCCCAATTATTTCTGTCCAAATTTTTCCAAAATAAAATGAAATAAAGCTGTCCAAAAGTAATTTTGTCTTCGACTAGCCAACTAAAATTCTCAAAATCTTATACTAACCAAACCACTAAACCCCTGACTCTAAAATGATGTTTATCCTTTTCTTGTAGTATTCATCTTCCAGACTTCAAAAACTCAAAATTCAAATTCTCAAAATTCCGAAAACACTAGCTATCCTCTAAGTTCTATTGCTAATTTCTTTATCTCCTTCGTCTTCACTCTATAACTTTCTCGCCAAGAGTTGTAGGTACTTGCTGGTCAGTCTTGCACTACTAAAACCCAGCCATATTAGTCTTACTTGCTAAGAAATGAATTATATTTTAAATATAGTAAACGCTCCTTGGGGTTTTGGGGTTTTGGGGTTTTGGGGTTTTGGGG